ATATTTTTAAAATATTTATAATATATTATATATAATTTATTATTTATAATATAATATTATAATATATTTATATAATATATATTATAAATATACAAAATCGAAAAACCAAAGAACCGAATCGGTCAAAAACCGAAACCGGTGGACCGGTTAACCGGTGGTACCGGTTCGGTTTCGGTTTGGAGAAATGGAAAAACCAGTACCACTGATTCGGTTTGTAAAATATGTCCATGGACACCCCTAGTAATGGGTTGCCCAAGGACCCATGACCCAAAGGGAAAAAGGATTCACCCTCTGAATCGATTCTTTCAACATTAGTCTCCACTACAACCAATAAGAGACCTTTCCAATTGGCACTTCCGAAGATTGATAGAATCTGCAGAAAACATAGCCATGTGTAGTGAATAGAAAAGCTAAGAGTTTTGTAGACATGGGACCCATATGGCTTCACACCACTTGTGGGTCCATCTAAACACTGGCATGTTCACTTGTGACTGGTTACATATCCCATAACATTTGTGTTTGTAGTAGATCTGGAGCCTTTTTAAATAGGAGTTATTATTAATTAAACAGTGACTACCACAGCCATCAAGCGCAGCTAAGCTCGATTCCTAAAATCCCAATTTAAATCTTGCCATTGGCTTTTGATGAGAACCATGAATTCAATTTCAAATATGAACTCTAATGTTAATTCTCAGTTTGTAAATAGGAACTTTAATATCTCGGCTCATAAGGTATTCTAAAAGGCCAAAACTCACTTACAATCTTTTTTTTTTTTTTTTGTATTAAATGATTACTCTACTGGGATCCCTAGAGTTGAGAACTTTGTATATTTTCTTCCTCTTTAATATAGTTATTTATCTTTCAAAAGAAAAAAAAAGGGAAAATTTTCGATAGGTATCCTGTACTTTAGGCCGAGTGCCAATTTAGTACCCGAACTTTAAAATGCGATAATCTAGTACCCAAATTTTTATTTTGCAATAATATAGTACCTACCGTTAATAGATCGTCAGTTATGTGTATCACATGACCTCATGTGCGATTTAAGAATTTTGAAAATGTCAAAATTATCCTTAGAAAATACACTATTCATCATCTTCTTTCTCAGGAAAATGAAATAGAATCCAAAGGGCTCGCCACTGGCCACCACCATGGCCAGCGGGAGGATAAAGAGTTTAAGACCATCTGTCTAATGGACAGCACACGCATGCTGTTATCGTGATCTTTATCGTCGGTCGCTCTTGCTTTCCTTGTCTCTGTTGCTCTATTGCTGTTTGTATGTTACTCACCTATTTACTTCAACACTCTTACATTCCGGTGGCAGCAAATGCAGGTGGAGTTGCACTTGCAAGTCCCATCTCCATATCTCTCTCTTTGCATTTATCTTCTCTTGGAGCTCTTTTCTTTCTCTCTCTCTCTAGCTTTGCAAAGGTACAAAAAGATGAGTTTCACGGTCTCATTCTTATAGAGGAGGAGGAGTTTCACGGTGGCATAGAGGCCACGTTGGGTCTCATTGCTTTGGTATTACTGATCTTGGCTTGCACTCACCGAAAGCCTTCCACCAATTCGTCTCATCTACTCCATCATTGGTCCTCTATCTCTATCTAAAATGCAGGGAAGGATGGAGTTTGGTTTCCTGTGCCATTTGTCTAACACCATAAACGTGGCAAACGATTGTTGTTTATATGTAATGCTGATTGTTAGGGCACAAGTCTGGACCATGGTAGCCAGCTCCATGGTTAGTTCTGTTTCTTAGCTCAGTTTTTCTTTGGTTTTCTCTTCTATGTTTCTAATGTATTGGTCTGTGTTTCTAGTGTGTTTGTTTTTGGTTCTGGTTTTTAATGAAGCATCTGGGTTATGTCCTAACCTGAACTCAGACAATGCAGCAAGAGACAATTCTATTTGCTATGTTTTGACTTTTTTTGTCTTTAGATAATGGTAGGGAATAGTGGCGGTGTTCAATGAAGGAGATGATGAACAGTGGCAGTGAACAATAAAAAACTAGATGAAATTTAAGGGGCATTTGTGTCTTTTCCCATGATACTTAACGATGAGTTAACGCAAGGTATTAGATTGTCGCAAAATGAAAGTTCAGGTACTAGATTGTTGTATTTTAAAGTTTGGGTACTAAATTGGCACTCGGCCTAAAGTACAGGGTACCTATTGAGAATTTTCCCAAACAAAAAAATCTTGTTGCCACCTAGGTAGGGGGTTAAGGGAAAGGGATGGCTACCCGTTGTCTAGCTCCATGAATCCATGAAGCAAAGAAGAAAGAATGAAAGAAAGAAATTTGTATTCATAACTCAATTTAAATCAATATTTGGATTTCAAAGTTGTAAGTCTCCCATTAAACTAAAAACCAGAATGCTCTGTGAGAAACAATGTTTCCTTTTTTTTTTTTTTGTTAACTGGGTGGTTGACCCGTTCAGTTTGTAAAAGCCATCATTTAACTAAGACAGTTAGTTGGCCCGGTCGATTAACTTTTTTGGTTAACCAGATGGACGGTTGGCCCATCCAGGCCACTCCCCAGTCTTGGGAATGGCAACAAGGGGTGGGGCGGGGCTGGGTTTTGCATGCCCCATTCCAACCGGCCCCGAATTCAAATACCCCACTCCATCCCATGGGGAATGGGGATCATCAAAATTTTCCTACCCAGCCCCGAACCCCAATTAGTGGTAAAAAACCTACCATGGGACGAGGCGAGATCCCACAGGAACGAGTCAAATTTCCATCTCTATACAATACTGCTAGGGGTGGCCACGACTTGTGAAAAGCTTGGCTCGGCTCGGTTTCAACCGAGTTTTAAGCCGAGCTTGAACCCAATTTATAGGCTCGTTTATTAATCAAGTTGAGCTCGAGCCTAATAAAGCTCAGCTCGTAAGGCTCACGGGCCGAGCTGAGCTCAAATAGCTACATACGTACATACATACATACATACATACATACATACATACATACATACATACATACATACATACATACATACATACATACATACATACATANTACATACATACATACATACATACATACATACATACATACATACATACATACATACATACATACATACATACATACATACATACATACATATAATACTACTACTACTACTACTACTACTACTACTACTACTACTACTAATAATAATAATAATAACAATAATAATAATAATATTATTATTATATATAATATTTTTATTTATATATATAATAACTAATTATTATAATTCTTAATTTTAAATATCAAATAAAAATATTTTTATATATAATTTTTTTACTTTTATAAAATATTTTTCTCAAGTAGTCGAGCTTGAGCCGAGCCTAGCTCAAGCTTACGAGCTTTTGACTCGAGCCAAACTCAAGCTCAAGGTTCTAGCTCGAACCAAGCTCGAGCTCGAGCCTCATACTACCTTGGGTGAGCCGAGCTCGAATAACTAACTATTCGGCTCGGCTCAGATCGAATCCACCCCCTACAAATATTAATGAATCAAACATGGATGCATGTAGGTATATTCGGTTCCATCAGAATCATTTGCAGTCCAAAGTCATGAATTATCCGATTAATAACCTTTCCAAAATTATGAATTATTTTTTTATGGGAAATTGTCTAAAACTCACCATGAGTTTTCAGCATTTCTCTTAAACTCACCACAACTTTTCAAAACTTCTAAAACTCACCATGTCAGTAAGTTTTTATTTTCCAAATCTCACCTTCCGTTAGTGCACCATTAATGTTTCTTAACAGAGGTGTCCACGTCAGCATAAATAACAATTTTTATGACCAAATCACCATTGAATGGCGAGTTAGAGGAAAAGGGTCTTTTTCAGTTTTCAATTTTCTTTTTTTTACATTTTAGTGTTTTGTTATAATTTCAAATGTTTTTTTATAATTTCTGCTTTTTTACATTTTTCTATTTTCTACTATCTATAAAATTTCCTGTTTTTTTTTGCTATTTATTTGCAATTTCTGTAATTTTCTATAATTTTTGGTGTCTTTTCTACAATTTTTATTTTCTGATTTTGTTTTTCAATTTCTGTAGTTTCTATAATTTGAAAATAATTTTTTTATTTTGCGTGCAATTTCTATAATTTTTTATATTTTTGCAATTTATTTTTTATGTATTTTATATTTGAAAATATTTTTTGAACTTTTTCCTTTTTTCATATCTAAATATTAAAATATATGTATATATTTTATATTTTTCTATGAAGGTTAAAATAGCAATATATTAACAGTCGTTAGTCTCTTTAACGTTAAGTTAGTGACATGGTGAGTTTTAGACATTTTCAAAAGTTGTGGTAGAGTTTAAGAGAAATGCTGAAAATCATGGTGAGTTTTTGACAATTTCCCTTTTTTTTTTCTTTTGCCTAATTGACCAGTTGTTGAATCAGTGGTCAAACCAGATAGAACCAAACCATCCCTTTTCAGTTTGCTGTCTTATCTGATTTTAAAACACAGTTTAAACCAACCCAAGTATTGACTTAAATTATTAATTCGGAAGGTTCTTAATGGAGATTACAGATTTGAATGTCGGCTCAGCAGAAGCTAATTATTTTCTTTTTCCGGTGGAATTAATTAGATATATTAAGCTGATTGGAAGCGAAATTAAGATGATGGTCAGCTCCAGAATAACTTCATGCATCTAATGCAATTCAAAGACTGATACTGAATCTAATGCTGGTTAATGAAGATATGGCTGCAGCAGCACACTTCTGCTTCTAGAGTCCAGACCACATCATCATATTCAAGTCTAGTTCTCAGAAAATTGCAGTATTGCTTGTTGCATGAATTTATGTGATAAGAATGTGAAACATGGAAGATCTATTTGTTTATTTATTTACTTGTTTTTATCCCTTGATGAATCTAATCGATTCATGGTGCCTTCATTGATCTGACTCAGTCTTTGAATTTGCTGTGACTGTAGTTACGAGCGGTCTTCCTCAGTCATATTTCAGAAAATGTTGATGCATGAATCACACTGAGACTGGCCGACTACTGGGTCATAAAAAGCATTCAGAAACACGCTTGCACATTAGATTTAAATTTCTAAAGCACAGAAGTCGACACGGAATGACTGTGTACGACTGTAGCTCTTTGTCTTATACCAAACCAAGTTGATGAAATTTCTAATACTCAGAGAGAGAGAGAGAAAGCATGAAAATTTTGAATATTCCCCTCCTCTCACCCACTCTTTTCCATTTTATTGCAAATCAGAAGTCGGCATCTGTGGCTACGTAAGAAACTCTCATGACGTGCTTTCTACATTGACCAACAGTTCAGTTTTAGAAGGGAGAAAAATTGATGAGTTGAATTCTCCTACTGAATTCATAGTCTTCGTTAGATGGTGTTATGTACAAGTCAAATGCAATTCCTAGCTGAGAGGACAAACCAGTTCTTCCTCTTCCTCCTGCCTCAGACGGCGCACCAATCGATCCAGTGCTTCCTTCATCCAAAGAGGCTGACATACTTCTCTAGCTTCATCCACAGTCATCTGAACCAAACATTTCATTTCGAAATTAATTAGCCCTTAATTCTCAAGCGTGCATTTCGCTTGAATCTTTTGAACCACAAAGATGTTCGACTGAGCTTACCCATTTTCGTTGCCGGACGTGCTTCTCAGGCCAGATGTCTAATTGCTTCTCGACGAGCAAAGGAAACATATATCCTTCATAAATTGCATCATGGCTTTTGCTCTTAAAAAACCATTTACCCAATTGGCTCTGCAACAGACCAGAACTAAAAGATTAGCTATTTGCCAATGTCACTATGCCGGTACCTGTAGTGATGGAACAGAATTATTGGTCCATTAATGGATACATACTAACCTCAACATTTCCTTCAACACCAGCTTCTTCCATTGTCTCTCGCTTAGCTGCTTCTTTCATTGATTCGTCCATTTCCCAACCTCCCTGATAAACACAAAATCAACAACATTGATTACGTTAATGAATGATTTATTAACAGATCCATTGGTGTTGGCTAATGGAACAAAAACCCTTGAATGGTATCAATTTAGTACCTTGGGAAACAACATTGCATGGCTTTTCTGTGAACTGATCAAAAGAACCTCCAAATCTTGGCTGTCATCCATGGCCTCATGTGAAGGACTTTTCCCAGTTTTATATCTGTAAGGAATACATCTGCACACGCATCGAATTAAAATCGAACTTTAGATGAACTGTCAATTTCAAATCAAAACAATTTTGTCTAACTCCGAAAATTCTTCAGGTAAAAAGGTCGAACATCTGAGAGAGGGGCCACGAGACTCTTTCGTTGGCTCATTACACAAAGACCCATGTCAGTTCTTTGTCAAATTCCTGATCTTTGAATGCCAAGCAGAAGATGAAGAAATTGCTTACAAAACATACTCACCCGACGACTTGGCGACGGCCTTCATCATCGTACCGCTGAAATTCTCTTCCGGTACGAGAAACCAAAGCAACCATTGTTGATTTGCAGAGACAAAAAACAACGGACAGTCGGACAACGCTAACCTCTTTCTCTTTCACCTGAGAAACTTGAAAAGAACCTGAGCCCTTCTTGAGCCAAATCTATACTTCTTATCCAAAACAGAACAACAGCCGAGAATACCAAACTTAGGATCGTCTCTCTAATGTTGTTTCTATTCTTGGAGAAAGACAATAAATTCCAAATATCGGAGATAAACCAGGGACGTCGATGAAAGGTAATCACCAACTGTCCTGGATAAGGTAGATGCGCACCCCTTAAATAAGCAATCCTTCGGGCTTCTGCGTACACCTTCGGCCTTCTGCGTCATTTCTCTCTATTATATAAAAATAAAAATAAATCGTCAAAGTCAACGCTGCGTTGATGTTGATCAACCGTGTAGTTGATCTTATTGCCACATCAGGGCTACAAACGGACAAAATCGAATCGGATACAACTATACAAGTAGATTCCAATCTGATTGGGTTATGTTCGTATTCAAATCGAATTTTATCTATCTATCCATATCCATCGGCTTTATATCAAATTTGGATCGTAAATAGAACTGTTCATGGGTCGGGCAGGGCCGGGCTTTCACTCTCTATTAATAGATTTTTCTAAGGCCCGAGCCCGGCTCTTATAAAAAGCTCGAAGCTTGGGCCTGGGCCCGAGTCCGAAATTTAGCCCATACTGTTACTACTACAAAGTGGTTGAATAGAGAGAGAGAGACATTATAAAGAAAAGAATAAAAAATGTATATATTAAATTATAAATATATATTTTAATAAATATTATATTATTTATATATTTTATATAATATATAAAATACATATTATATATTTTATAAAATATACAATGCTGAGTCGGGCCAGGCTGGGCTCGGGTCGGGTTTTTTTGACAAATCCCGAACCCGGCCCGAAACACAGTTGGGCTTACTGGGTTAGGCCCGAGATCAGATCTGCGGGCCTAATTACATAACCAAGCCCAACCGGGGTGCGGGCCAAGCCGGGCCGGGCCATCGAGCTGCCCGGCCCATGAACAGGTCTAATTATAAACAAATTAAACTAAAAATAATTAGATACATGATCAACAAAAAGCTTCAAAGTTTTGGTGCCAATTAGACACAACCCCTCCTCTTTTGTTTAGGCTTGGGACAAGCAATGGATAAAGATAAATTAACTCACATTTGTTGGGATGATGATTAATAAATTGAATTAAAAATGACTTTAATATCGTATTATATAATTAAAATGATTTGAAAAGTACTTGTATGAAATTTGAACCTATGCAAATTTAGTAAAATCATAACATTTAAACCAACTTTATTAAATTGGAGTGAATTCAAATTTAAATTCAGGAAATCGAATATTGTATGCAAAAACCGATATGGAGGTCAAACCGTTTTTTCCTCTGAGTCATAGGTCACCAGTTTAACCATCCAGGTTGAATAGGTTATATACACATATTATGTTTGTATGTATGTATTTTATCAGTAAAAAATGTATAATCATTTTTCAGATGTAATATATGTATATATAAATATTATTTTATGTTTAATTTATACTTTTAATTCAAATTTTAAAATTTATTTGTAAAAAGTGATAAAAATTGTGATTTGAGGTCAACGAAGGGGTTTTTTGTGAAAATAGCAGGGCAAAACACCTTTGGCTCCTTAGACCTAGAAAAGTTATCCAAATGCAAAGTTATGACCTTTGTGTATACATTAATGAGTGTGTAACTCATGACCCAATAACGGATCAAACAAATGAATAATTGAATCATCTGAATCAGATGGTTTTTGATCAAGTCAACAATTTTCATCAAATAATGAATTTCAACTTTTATGCAAATCAGACCTAAAATCTTGACTAGATGATGATTCAAATGATTCAACTGGTGAGGTCAACGACAGACTTAAAACAATGGTTTGCAATATTGATATATTAGAAAACTATGTCAGCAATGAGAAAAGCTAGAGTTAGCATATTTTAATATGTCGTATGACATAGGTTTGCTAGATCATGGATGGTTTCATGATTCATTTGCTTACGTGGAAAGATGACATGGGCAATCCACGTCTTTTGATCATGTTTACAACCATCTAGATTCGTTTCATTTTCATTAGAATTTCATAGAAAGTGCTGCATTGGGTTTGGTAAATCACAAGAGGACAAGATGTGAAAATACAAGGCTAGTGGTGGTAATTATTGGCAAAGGCCATGGTGTTCGCACTTAACTACGTGTGCTCACGGTTCGGTTTTGAAACCGAACTGAGGCCAATTGATTAACTGGTTGACTGGTTCAGTTAATCGTTGGTTCAGTTCATCGGTTTTTTAGTTTTTTATTATTTATAATAGAAAAATATATAAATATATAATAAAATATTAGAATATATATAATATTATATTTTAGATAATAAATAATATATTATATATATTATAAATATGTATTTATATAATATATATTTATTAATTTATAATATACAGAAAATATAAAATATATATAATCTATACTATTTATAAAAGAATGAATGCCCCTTCTTCCTAGAATTTTCATTGGACATTTTCTACCCCCTTGTTTAAGCATACAGTGGGCATATATGTCATATGTCATTTATTCTCATTTCAGAAACTATCCACTTATAACCATTCAAAAACTGTCCATAGATTATAAATAGTTTTGTCTTGGAGATATTGCCACGTGCAAATGCACATGTATGTTAAATAGTATATATAAATATACATAAAATATATAAATATATGTATATCAGTCGATTCAATTAACCGCCAATTTTTTATTTTGGTTAATCCATACCTTCGATATTTTTAAAATATTGAATCAAAACCGAATCAACTAATTTGATTAACCGAATTTTTAGTTCAGTTTGGGTCAATTTTTTCAATCGATTTGATTTTTCAGTTTTTTTGCTTACCCCTACACTTAACACCACCCTTCATTACTCCAGCTTAGACTTTAGACTTTATAAGGCCCAATCAAATAAAATGGCTTAATTGGTGGAACAGTGGAGGTAGTATCTCCTTGTACGTAAAAGTCTGAAACAAGATCCCAAAGTTAATTCATGTGATCCGATTACTTCGGCTTCTAAACTTCACTCCAAAGTTAATTCATAAACCTGCGTTTGTTTGTAGTGTAAATGCCCATCGATATAAAAATCCACCGCCGGTTTGTTTTCGTTTTTGTCGGCATTTGTTTGCAGTGTAAATAGGGATTGGTATAAAATTTCATTCTTAATCCATTTTTGTTGGTATTTGGATGGAGTGTAGTTTTATATCATAAATTAATATAGAACTAAACTGTACTCACAATAGAGTTTTACTTCGATTATAGATATAAATACTATGTCGATAAAATCAATGTAATTTTATAAATACAATGATTCACATCTTTCAAAAAGAGGTTTTTGTTTCTTCAACACTGATTTTGTGTCAACATGGAAATGGAAACAGATTAATAGAGGGTGAGAAAAATGAAAAATTGGAAAATAATCAGAGACAATAAATGAGAGGAATTGACTCATAAGAAAAAGACATGATTTAATGCTGGCACATGTGAGATATACACATGATTTAATGTTGATATGGTGTCTTATGATTGACTGTGTAAGAAGTTGTGCAAGAGACCCAACTCGTGGCAAGAATAGAGTCCTGTAGCATCAAAGGATAAAGAACAACTAGGGGTGTTCATGAAAAACTGAAAAACTGATTTGAATCGAGAAAATCGAACCAAAAAATGCAGTTAATCGGACCGATCGGTTTGGTTTCGGTTTAGTATTTTTAAAAAATCAAAGGATTGGTTTGATTTTCGATTAACCTACAAAAAAACCGACGATTAATCAAACTGACCAGTATATATTTATATATATATATATATATATATATATTTTTTTTTTTTAATATATGTCATATATTGTCTATATATTATATATAAATATATATTCATTATATTTAAATATATGCATATATTATATTTATAATAATCTATTTATTAAAATATTAATATATTATATATCATTTGTTATTTATAATATAATATTATATATAAAAAAACTGAAGAACTGAATCAATCAAAAACCGAATATTGATTGTTGAGAACACACCAACCTGTCGAGTCTTCCAATGTAATTTTTATTATAAATTAATTGCTTCTTTTTTAAGTGGTAGTCTGGTAGACTTATTTTTCTGAATTGTTCAAAACTGACTCACCTTGATAGAGTACATTTTTTTATTTGCCCTCTTCTTTTTGATGTGACAAGTTTTTCAGGACCCACAGATTTAGTGGTTCAGATTATTAGATTAATAACTTAATAAGCATACGCACCAAATATTATATGGAATTAGCTAATTTTTTAATCTTATTTCTAAAAAAAAGAAAACTATCTTATAATTAGTTCTCTCTCTTAACACATAATTGAAATTATACTAATCTTCCCATTCATTACATGGTTTTAAGAGTTATTGGGTCTATAAATTAACTACCTTCCCTGGTTCCACACCCAAAAAAAAGTGCAAAAAAATACAATAAATAAATAAAATAAGAAATTTAAGCATATGTCAAATTGTCCATTAGAGACACTAACAATTGATATTGATCAGATGATGGACGGTGACGGAATAATTAAACCCATTTGAGATTCTCACGGAAGAGCACTAAGGTCCAATAAGATTGGCATAGACGCCGATTAGCATTGACCTGACCGGTTGATCCAGACTCACCGACTCACTTGGTTTTCAGACTTGGGTTTGGTCATGCCCCATTTCAACCCGATTTGCATTAAATGCCCGACCAAGGTTGACCCAGGACGTGAAGCAACCCTTACCGACCGGCAAATATGGCTTTCTGGTGCTAGGATTGACTTTGCCCAATCATAGAATTTCAGTCATGGCTCGATTGGAGATAATTTGCACTTGTTCATAATTGAACCGACTCTAGCCCAAGACCACGTCCAAATCCCATGCACCGCGTCAATTTTACCCAGGCCACATGGGCCGGTACCGTTGAAATTTGTATCCCATTTTGCTTCTTCGTGGTGTGTGCGTGACAAACAGTTATTAGTTGTTAGTTCAAGTAAAATAAATTCATTCAAGCGAAAAATGATTATACCCAAGAAATGGGTCACTTAGTTGGATTCAGGATCTCCTGCCCATGTCTACCCACAATCCACTACCCCTGTGAATTGGAAATATCTCCCCCTACATAATACTATATAGGAAGATGAGA